TGTCCGCTAGTACGAGTATTGCGGATCCGGTGGCGGATTGTAACAGCTTATGGATTGAATTGTTTGTTGTTTTGTACAGGTAGACTGTCGTGCACTACTTACATGATTTGTGCAAGAAGATTGTAGTGCACTAACGAATCTCCTGCCTTCGTTTGTAGAAACTTACACTTGTTGTAATCAATCGGTATTTTGTTTGTAGGTGACATATGGCGTATATGATAAGTCTTCCACAGCGGTCCATAGGAATTTTCATTCATTTTGTATTCTCCTTGCATTTCGTTCATAGATGACATTTCATGTACATAGCAAGTCCCCTACAAAGACCTGTGGGTATTTCTATCTGTTGCATGTCGTACATGCTTATTGATTGGAGAATGATGTATTCACCTACATTTGATTGCATGAAGGCAGTATTCATTCCAAATTCTCGAATACCTCTTCATTATTAGTTTGATTTATGTTGATACCGGATGCCTGGAGAATTCCTACTATATCACCAAGTGTATGAGACATCTTTGCACATTTCACAATGTTATTAAGTGCATCTCTATTTCATCTTTCTTATGTATGCTTACAGAGAGTGTCACTGTCATCATGTAGCTCGTATGTTCATTGTATGTCAATTCTTCTAGTATTGCTTGTAGGGATGTTATATACATTGCAAATGTAGAAGCTTCTGCTATCATTTGAGGTGCCACAAGCATTAAAATCCACTATATTTGTTACATATTGAATTCTTTTATCCAAGGGGATCTGTTGTATAAATAAGGAGTCTTCTGCGGCGACTCGTAGAGACTTCTACATGTACTTATAAAACCACTACATGAAGTGTTGTTGTTTGTAGTAGAATTAATAAACCTTCTTGGAGTTGAACATCATTGATTATGCATAGGCCTTCCTCTTACTTGTTACTTGTGAATGAGATGTAGTAGGGACCTTCCTTGTCCAATATACATCTTTATCTGGTCATCTGTACCAGCTTGAATGATCAATATTTGATTATTGAACCTCTATATCTTAATTGTTCATTTGAATGTCCTCCAAAAGTTTCTTGTTGAGGATTGTTTGCAATCAAATGACAATTGAATTCTTGCTCACCATGAGTTCCACATCCACTCATTCTCATTGATTCTCAATATGTGTTACAATATGCGTAGGGGCTTAATGTTCAACATTTGTTTGATATCCACATTCCATTGAATATGAAGACTTGTTATGCCCATTACGCATCAAACCCTTCTAGTATCATTTGATTCCATGAGTCTTTATCATCATTTGATTAGTGGATGATATCCTTTCCACTTCTTTCTTGCATTGGGCTATAAGGTGCATTCATTGAATGTGAATTGTTGTTGTCCATGAGGCTCTACTATTATATCCAGTGTGTACCTCTTGCATTTAATTAAGAATTGCTATAACTTCACTTTGAGATATTAAGCTCCTTCATGCTTGGTTCCAACTCTACACTGTCAAGAGATTGGTTCTATGGTTTGTTCATTCAAGTTCTAGTTGTGATTTGAGTTTCCTATAGTTCAAGGCTGATTCCAGGTTTATTCATGTCTTTGCTCATATCTATTGATTTTCAAATCAAGTGTGAGTTCAAGATCAAAATTCAAGTTCACTTTTTGTTTAAGTCCTTAAT